GGTGAGTTATTTAATTCCTTTCCTCCCTAGCTATTTGCTCTGAAAAATAAAGCAGAGGATATCATCCCCTTCCCTCATCTTGTTTGGCTTCCTGAATCTTTCCTTGCCATTTGGCTTAATAGCCAACAACAGAATTGATTCTGAAAAGAGAAACTGGGATATATTTGCTGCAACAGGAGTTCTGGTTTCCATCTCTGCTAGCTGACAAACCCCAAGTGTTTATCTGTCATCACTAAAGTCTGTGAAATGCTGAGTGGTTGTCAATGGGGTCACACCTTTTTTTCTCAGCCTAATGGCATGTTTATTTAACCAGAGTTCATATTTGGGAGCTGTAAGCAAATAAAGAATGTTATAGAATAGCAGATGATTTTTAAAACTAAAGACTATATGCAAGCCTAAGGCTAATTAAACACAACTTCGATGTCTTAAGATGGGTTGCAGCCAACTTTGAAATCCTTCATGGTTTTTACTTGTTTTCCCCACATGATCTCATTTGATCCTTACAACAACCTTGAGATACTTCAGTCACGAATAGTTGTTATCCCTGTTTCGCAGCTAAGGAAACTGAGTCCCAGAGAAGTTAAAGTGGTTTTACTAAGATCACAATTCTCAGCAAAGTCTATACTTAGAGCTAAGCTTTCTGACTCCAGAACCCATTTTTTTTATTATGTCTTGCTGCCTTCAACTAAATATTCAAACCATTACATTAGGGACAGACTTTCAAAACAACAAACATTTCGAGGGTTTTTAAAAAGCTATTAGCAACTGCACAGAACACCAAACTCGGCGAAACAGGGCAAAAGAGCAGACAGATGCGGGGCCAAGGCATTTTGTAACTAAAATCCCCAAGTATGTTAACTCGTGAACTTGACCTTACTAGTCATAAATTTTCTCAGTTGTTTTGTTCAATTTATGCCATGTAATTGTTTGGGGAAATGTAAATGTTCGGACAATAAGGAAATACCCATCACCTAAATTCTACAATTATCATTTTATTGCACTTGCTTTGCCACATATCTACCTATCTGTCCATCCCTCTCTCCAACCTGCAACCCATCTTATTTTTCTGAAGTTGCAGACATTAGTAAACTTTACCCCTAAACAGTTCAGCATGCATATCATTAACTAGGGTTCAATATTTGCTTATAGCTCTTTTTTAAAAGTAAAATTTGCCTATAATTAAATGCACAAATCTTAAGTGTACCATTTAATAAGTTTTACCAAATGTATATACCCATGTAACTCAAACCTCTAGATATAGAGTATTACCCTCACCCCAGAAAGTTGTCTCCCCTCATGCCGCCTCCCAGTCAATTCCCTCCCTACCACTGTTCTAATAATTTGTCATTATCGATTAGTTTTATCTTTTCTAAACAGATACTCTTCTCTGTAAGGATATTCTTGCTCAGGATCAGGTTTTTGAGATTCATCCATGTTGTTTTGTGTATTAGGAGTTTACTCCTCTTAATTGTTGAGTATAATTCTGTTGTAGGAATGTACTAGTTTCTTTATCTACTTTCCTCTTGACAGACTCCTGGACTGTTTCCAGTTTTGGGTTATTCTAAAAAAAAACTGCTATGAGCACTCTTATAGAGATCTTTTTGTGAATATGTTTTCATTTCTCATGGTAAATACCCAGAAATGGAATTGCCGGGTCATAGGGTAGGTACATGTTTAGTTTTATAAGAAACTTCTAGAACTGTTTTCAAAAGAATTGTACCATTTTAATCCTCCCAGCAATGTATGAGAATTTCTGTTGCTCCACATCGTCATCAACATTTGGCGTTGTCAGTCTTTTTAATTTTAGCCATCTTGATGAGTGTTCATCATAAGAGCATTTCCATTATCAAGGGACAACTTAGGCAATATCTGTATTCATGAACCTCTATTACTAACCAGTTCAAATTTCTTAAGTCATATGATTAAGACATTAAATCCTAATTCTCATCCTTAAGGAGTTGATTTAAAGACTCATAATTTGGTGGTTATTTTAAATGTTTTTGGATTCAACTTGAGCTCTAAATCACTGAATTATTGTTGAAGTTAATTTTTAGGGTGTTTATCTATTAATACTAATGTTTCAAATTAATCAAAATCAGGTTAGCAATTGACTTAAGCTCAATAGAAAAATAATCACAACCTAGTCACTAACTCATAAAATTTGTTTGACTGAATTGAATGAGCATCACCTCAGGGGTGACTTTCCTAGACTTAAACTTCGATTACAAAGAGTGAATCATTTTAGACTAAGCACAAGTAATATGTGGTAAAGTTACCACCAAGTTAAGTTGCTTCCGGTTCCTGAAGGAAGTCCACAGGCCTAGTTTTATTTTAATGTAAATATTTCCTTAGGCTTTGTAATTTATCCCTAGGAAGTTTCAAGCTTTTAAATTGCTATTTTCTTGGCTTTTCCTTCATTCTGCATGCTCTGACTCTTGCTCATTTGTTATGAAAATAACCTAAATGCTCTTAATGCTTCTCAAAAATGTATTTCAGTCCACTGCTTATAATATTAGACGTTATTATAACTTGTTTGACATTTTGTCTTTTAATGAACTTTTAATAATCAGTAGTAGAAATATAGCGTAGAGCTCTAAAGTGGGAGAAATAACTTGTACAAGTCCTAAGGCCAGTGTAACCGGGTCAAGGCATTGGGAAACACTCACATCAAAGATAGCTTAACTTTTTGACTGCTCTTTAACTAGTTCCTTTATTTCTCTATACTTCAGTTTTCCAAGATATTAAAGGGTAATCAACTAGTATTGAATTTTTCAACCAGAAAATTTATAATGCAACTTGAGCATCAATTAATTTTTTTTGGTAGATTGCCTTTCTTGTGGCACCTGTTTGGTTCCTTCCCATTTAGGAAGGGCGAAATTGTTCCACAGTTTCTTGACTCTCCGTTGGTTACAGAGACATTAAGGAGATGACATCCAAGGAAATGTTATGAATTAGGCATTTTAATTTCTGTTCTGACTTGCCTTTTTACAGAAGCACTTAATACATTGCTTTATCTCTTTCTGTCTAGCTATAAAATAATAAACAAAATATACTGGCTCTTAAGCTATGTTAATATGGTAGTCATTTCTTTAAATTACATAAAACGTCATCTGTATATGAAATTTGCATATTTTTGGAACTAAGCCGTTAGGCACATATTTTGTACTTCTGAAAATAAGAATACACCATGGCTTGGAATGATACTGTACTGGCTAATTGTCCCACTCATCAAATGTACGATTCCACAACAGATTTATGATAGGGGTTTTTTTAATCTGCATATGAGCCACCAGGGCCAATGTTATGCGTAGGTGAAAATAGACACCTATGATTGGATTGATGGAGCAGCACAGAAAGGACCTGCCTGCCTTAAAATATTTTCCCTCTAGCCTGCCTTTGGGATAAGACACTATCTTCAAATTTTTCTATCCAAATCAATGTACCAGCAGGTAATACACCAGGATCGCTTTTTATTACACAAACCATTAATGTCCATTATCCCTTCAGACTCCAGCAGGGCCATGAGGGGTGGGACACAGTCAGAGACATTTTGAAAGGCTGAAGATGATATGACATAATGAGACATTGTGTGTGTGTGGTGGAGGGGGTGTGGAGGAACTCCAGGTAGCAGGAGGACAGCTCGAAGGTGGAAGGCACCTGTGGGAGGAAGCTCTGAAAGAAAATCTGGGACTTTTGCCAAAGATATACTTGCTTCCAATGTTGGCCCAGGGCTGGAGCCATGAGACACAGTGAGAAGGTGACGTAGACTTTTATTTTTCAGATAAAGCCACATTTTGCATGTAAGCTCTTTTGAGGCACTTTGTTCTATCTGACACAGGAAAGACAGGATGACTGTGCAGGCAGCACTGGTACTGAGGCAAAGAATCTTGCATTTTCCTGTGTTATATAAGCCACACAGTTAGACCAACTCTGGCTCATCTACTAATTAAGTATTGAAAATGAGAACTACCATTGTAAAGTGCTGTGTAAATACAAATTCTTTTTACTGTGATTTCAGAACTTAAATAAAAATGAAGCCACTGTTTTTCTTTCTGATAATTTCTCCTGACATTTTGCCAGTGACCCACTTACAAAGGAATCAAATCCAAAGGCTGCATTATCTAATCAGATTTCATTGCATTTTAAATGCATGGCGATAGAAGTAAAGATAACACATTAGGACAATGGACAGAGTTCACGTTTACGCTTCTTCCATTTCTATCTCTAAACTTTATCCCTTTTATTTAGTTTGCTTTATTCAACACATCCTATTTTAGTTGCATATAAAAGAAAGAGTTTTGTCACAACTAACTCCTCTCTTCTTAATCAAAAAATAAAAGTGATCACTCCATATTTCGTCATATTCACATTTATACATTTTATCATAGTTAATAGATAAAGGCTCAAGGATTTTAGTATAAATTATAGAACATAAGTTCGATGTTTATTTAGCTTTAGATTGTTAAGCATAATTATTAGAATTTTACTACTTTTCTCTTCACAAAATTTTTATTTTTTCATTAAAAACATTTGGCCTTTCATAAATTAACCTAAACAAACAATAAAGGAATATCTTTTCGACTGAGACAAAAAGACCTTAATAAAAATGATTTGTATCCAGCCATTTGTATCAAATGGCTCACTAATCATATTATGCTAGGGCCTTAATATTAAAGAGCTATCTTATAACTGGTAATTGAAGAGCTCTTCATTAGTTTCTCTGAAAATAAGAGTTTTTAATCTCTTCTTGCAGGCTAGGATATTTTTATGGTTTAAATACATTTTGGAAATAAATTGAAACACTTAAATTGAAAATGTCTGATGTTTTCAATTACTTAAAACATTTATGATTTTAAGCTCTGAGCAGAAATCTGCTGCTGAAGGGGAAAAAAATTAAGAGCTGTTAGTCAGAAAGACACTTATGTAAGAACAGTGACATTGGTCATTGGTCTGAAAGGAGAAAGGCCTACATTTTACACTCCAGGCTTTAAGGAATCTTTATGGAGCATTTTCCTGTCTCTGAGCTGAGACAAATGGCTGATGAGTGAAATCTTGAGAATGTTCACAGCTTTTCTCTTTCATTCTGTCGCAGCCCAGAAGATGGTGAGATCCATCCAGAAATCTGTCGGCTTTACATCCAGCTGCAGTGTTGCTTAGAAATGTACACAACAGAGATGCTAAAATCCATATGTCTGCTGGGATCTCTTCAGTTTCATCGAAAAGGTACCTACATTTAATATGTTGCCATAAACACTGAGGAATGTTAAACAAAAGCTCATCTTTTGCAAAGTCCTATATGCACTATATGTCTATCTACACACAATTAGAATGGATGTCAATGTTCAGGAAATGTGTGATATAAATTAATAAGTCACTATCAATACTATCTAAGTGTATAAGAACACTGATCACCTTGAACAGAAGTTGTGGTAGAAACATTTCTCAAATTTCTTATTTTACCACTTATGAACATGACTTTGGTTAGAATCAGCATAGGCAGGAAAACTATATAATGATCTCATGAGGGTAGTAAATGCTATCCAAGGTTGCTGCTATTTCCATAAATGAATTAGGTTCTAAGAAGATAAATTCCATATTGTTTCTCAAAGATTTGAAAATAGGGGAAACTCAACAAACAATAGGGAGGCATATTAGTAATAGAAAATCTCATTGCTTGCCTTAAGCTATAAATGGAATATATTAGCTCAAATGACAGAAGGCTCCAGAAGTGGCAGTGACTTCGGCATGGTTTGATCAGACTTCTGACTCCCATTCTGAGTGATGCTCTGCCTTCTCCTGGGTGTTGGCTTTACTCTTGGGCTGCCTTCCCCCACATTAGCAGCAAACTGGTTGTAGCAGTTCCAGACATCACACCTGTGCATCACAGGATCCATGAAAAGAGAGAACTTTTCCCCATTATAGACTAGCAAACGACCTGAGCTTCATTTTGATTAGACCAGGTCAGATCATGGGTCTACACTTGAACCAATCGCTGTAGCAAGAGGGGTGGAGTTATATTGACTGTTTTAGACAATCAAGGCTCATCCTGGAGCTAGGAGAGGAGTCAACCCCACCCAACCAGTGGCCGTTACATGATGAGAGAGGGTGGAATGGAATGGATGCTAGGGAGGAAGCCAAAAGTTTCCATTGCTGGAGGATTCACCCTGTATTTTTTTTACTGATTCATCAAACAATAATTTATCGGGACCCTCCTAAATGCAAATGCTTTGTGCTTAGCTCAGGAGAATAGGGGGGTACATAGAAGGTAATACTTGCCCATGATTTAAATTCGGAGATGATAGAAAAGATCAGTCAACTCTGTAATACTCAGAGAAATCTTATAGAAAGGGTAAGAGTTTGAGCTGTGTTGTGAAGGTAGGGTTTAGCTAGGGAAGAAAAAAAGACATTTCAAGTGAAGAAATGGTTAAAGTAGAGATTTGCAATCAAATGAAAATGCAGTTTAGGGGGAGCTAAATGATATGATAAAGTACTTGTAAAAAATCAAATCTTATGTACACATGTATCTATACACACAGCAGGACTAAAAACAAGATTATGCCATGCTGCTCCAAAGAGAGAATGTTTGATATGTGAATATTATTTATTTTTCCTTTTGCCTTCTAAAGGCTGACTTTTCAAGAGTTTCCATCTTTACTTATGTTATTAATACAAGTGAACATGTTTGGAAAGATTAGCTCCTTGACAGTCCTGATGCCTGATCAGAAGATTGAATACTCAGACACGCTGATGACATCCAAATAGGTTGTTGTTGGCCCAGTGTCTTTACTTGTCCTCTCTCTCTCTCACACACACACACGTGCACACACACACACACACTCACATACATGCATTCACACGTAAGCACACATACAGAGTAGCATGTTCATTCTTTTTAATCATGGTTGAATAGACTAGGTATGGGTAGTTTTTCCCCAGGTCTGCATTGGCTACGCCTGCAGTATTTCATGCCTATTTGCCACCGTCATCTCCCTTGTTGATGACATGTCCTTAACACCCGTGACCTCCACTCCCACTCTCACTATAATTCCTTGGTTTGCTGCCTGGTCTCCTGCCATCCATTCCTACTTTTTGTCTTTTCACAAGTGACTTTTGCAAGGAAGACTCCTCTCTGCTAGCTCTCTGTTTAAAAGTAGAAGGGATTCCCTCATCCAGATTCCTTCCTCATCGTATTTGGTCTTGAGCACACATTGCTTCTTAACTGATCAGCTCATTTGGTCTTCACTGCCTCCTGTCTTCATTGTCACTCTCTGATCTGCTTCCTTCCTTGCCTCTTCTTTAAAAAATGATGAACTTCTGCTTCTTGCTCTAGTGCTTAACCTATGTACAATGCTAAAAAGAATATACCTGATAGCATCTTTGATTTCTCAAGTCTCCACTTGGATTTCTATTTTATTTTTCTAAAATCATTATTACTTAAAGTGTAATCCTTAGAAAATCAGCTTCAAAATTATCCCGGATGCTGGATAAATAGGCAGATTCCTTGATCCCGTCCAGGACCTACTGCATCGGAATCTCTAGGGGTGCTCCAGGTGATTCTGACACACAATGAAGATTGAGAACTGTTGCTCTACATTTTGAAACAAAAGCAAATCACCCCACCATAGGAATTAAAATTAAAACTTCCAAGCCCTTACCTTGCCATTCTCCACTCATCTAAGTACATGCTTTCAACTGTGTTGTGTGCTTTCTTCTTTATCCTCTAAGCTGATGAAAAGCAAATACAAAACTGGTAGGTACCGCTGATGAGCATGAGCTGTGTGATGGCTCATATAGCATGTTTTCTCTGCAAACTTTTGATATGACCATTGAAATAAGGTTGTGGTTCTCAAAGTGTAGTCTGAACTAGCAACACCAGCATCAGCATCATTTGTTAGAAATGCAAATTCTTGGACCCTATCCCAGACCTACTGAGTCAGAAACTCCTTTAACTTCAATTTTTTTTCACTGCTGGAAAAAATTAAAAGAACAATTTATTGGGACACTTCTTCAACTGAATATATTTGTAAATTTCTGATCAGCAAACCACATATGTCTCCTTTTTTTGGAAATATGTACATACCATCTACTCCTGGCAAGCCTCTTGTGTTTCCACAATGCACGTCTAAGAGCTAATCATCTTATGGATTGTTACCTTTGTCTGGGTACCAGTAGAGTTAAGGAAATGAAGAGAAGGAGACTTCCTTATTAGTGAGAAATTCCCAAACCAGGAATACGGAAAATAGTAATGTTTAAGGTTAAAAAACTACATTGAAGATGGAAATAAGCCACTAGCAGTAGGCACCAAGGAAAATGTCATTAAACCAGAGAAAATAAAGCACTAGAAAACATGCATGAAAATACATGCTTGACAAATTTCCTGGAAATTTCTGGAATGCCAAATAAAATACTAGCTCTTGGGAGAGGGATAGTTTCATTTAAAAAATCATTTTTAATTTTCCTAGTCCTATATTTGTATTATACTTCTTTTTTATTTCTCTATTCTCTCCATTAATTTCTTCATTACACCTAAAGGATTAACCTTTAATTATTGTTTTGGACTCCTGGTTTGTTTGTACCATTTGCTAATTTGTATTTCTACCATCAGGATAGCATAGACGATGTCAGCTGATGTCACTAGTTTCTGTTCTTTCTTTCTTTGGTATCATTAGAAACTATAGAGTTACCTGTCTGTGTCCAGAAGCCTCCAGCTAATACACGATAAGTATGCAAAATCTGCTGCTGACGATCTGGGAGGCCCTGGCTGAAAAGAATAGAAATACTTGGCTCCAGTGACCGTGGACTGCCAGAAATGAATCAAGGAAGAAATATGTCCATGGACCATGGCACAAGAGTATTAAACTTTAAGAGAAGAGTTGGGCAAATTAAGAGATGTAACATGTATCTTGTCCTGGAAACACAGAATCCCTACTCATAAAAGTAGACCAAGAGGAGTCAGCAAGCCTGAGAAACCTTACTGCAGTATTGGAGTGGACAGCAAATGAATGTCTCATCTTTATGAGAACGAGAAATGGGAAAGGGGTGGGAGGAAGATTCTGCTAATGTGACTTACGAAGGGATTGAGTCAGGATGTATGATTAAGGAAAAACATGTATAGACACTAAATGAGCAGTGGAGTGGAAACTGAAGTGTAGGTAATTCCAAATTTCAGGCAAGGTGATAAAAGTGGCAGGGAGGGGCCGGCCCCGTGGCTTAGCAGTTAAGGGCGCGTGCTCCGCTACTGGCGGCCTGGGTTCAGATCCCGGGCACACACCCGACGCACCGCTTCTCTGGCCATGCTGAGGCAGCGTCCCACATACAGCAACTAGAAGGATGTGCAACTATGACATGCAATTATCTACTGGGGCTTTGGGGGGAAAAAGGAGGAGGAGTGGCAATAGATGTTAGCTCAGAGCCAGTCTTCCTCAGCAAAAAGAGGAGGATTAGCACAGATGTTAGCTCAGGGCTGATCTTCCTCACAAAAAAAAAAAAAAAAAAGCGGCAGGGAGAAGCATGGATCAAAAAAAAAAAAAAAAAAAAAGCGGCAGGGAGAAGCATGGATCAAAAAATCAGTCCCCTTTCCCCATGATAGATAGATAGATGATAGATAGATAGATAGACAGATATAGATATAGATATATTAAAGTCATGTCTTAGCTAAAAGAGCATTTATCCACTAGAAAAAGTCTGTCTACCAAGACTTAAGATGCCAGATGATCTACTCTTTATCCAAACAGTGGTATCTCTGGTGTGGCCTTGAGCTAGGAAAGGGGCCTGTCTAATGACCTCACTAAGTCCCTTCCTTCAAGAAATCAAATAGTCCTCAGAGTCTCAGGGGAAAAGTGACTCCCATTCTAGTCTGTAACACTCGAAATCTCTTTCTGCTTAGAATCTCTTTCTGGTATGTTTCTTTTAATCCTGTGATAAAAATTGGTATTTTGATAACTTGTAAGTATTTCTTCTCCCTCCTTGTGTTACAAGTTGGCCATTCCCTTTCTTCTTTACTATTTCCTTTCCATCAAGGAAAAGAAAGGACTTGTAATTGAGTCATTAAGTTTGGCTTGTATGAGAGCCTCTGGTCAATTTTTCATTGAGATTAGATACTGAAGCTAATTTGTTCCACGGTTATCTGTACTTTTAATTTATTCTTATTTCTAATAACCTCCCTGGGTGCCACCAGAACTCCAACAAGTATTGCATATTACATTTAGTTTAACTATTGTATC